CTCCCCTGCAGAGGAAGGCAGGACAGACTCCAGTGGAGCAAAGCTCAGGGGGCCAAGGATCCATTTGGATGCCAGGAAGTGCTTCCTGACGGTCAGGACCCCCAGGGTGTGGAATGGGCTCCCACGGGAGGTGGCTGAGGCCCCATCGGTGCGGGTGTTCAAGGATAGGCTGGATGTGCACATGGTGGGCATGTCGTGAGCGGAGTCGGCTGGTGCCGGGGGTCAGACTAGATGGCCCGGGAGGACCCTTCTGACTCGCTTTGTTTCTATGTTTCTATGTTTTGCCCTTCCTTGCCTTCTTACAAGTCACCTTGCAGGCAAACCTGACTGGTAGCAAGGCATGGTGACGTCATTCTGAGTAACTATGAGATCCATGGTTTATGATGTCATCTTGGGACTCAATCCAGGACGGTGGAGGATGAAGTCCATGCGGGTGGGAGATGTGCAGTTTTGCCGACTTCGACGCACTGCCTTCACCCTTCCAGGGCAGCAGCTGGAGCTGCACCTGATGCCTGCCTTTGCAGAATCTCACCTGGCCGGCCACCGAGCGAGGGATTTTTCGGCAGTGCACCTGCCTGTCGGATTGTGCAATGCACTGGACTTCTTCCAGCTCCCATCCTTTAAAGCCCTTTTGAAGAACAGGAAATACATTTTTAATCTTATTTTATTGAACCACTGAGTGGGATAGTAGTCGGTTATTGATCTTACTGGTGTCTTTCAGGGCTGCCCTTAATTTCATTGCTGGATTTTACTAGGTAATTCTCATTTTAGTTTTATGTTATTAATGCTTGATGACTTTTTTTAACCTGCCTGGAAAAGGATTTTTTTAAATCTGTAATGATAGCCTATGGGTATTTTTTTACAAAAGGCTTTAAAAACTGTGCAGGCAAAATCCACTTCCAGCTGCATAGGGGATGAAAATGGTTGATTTCTCTCACAGTTCCTATGCAGGTACTTGCTGGCCTTGTCTGGCTGTGGGTCCCGCAAGGTTTCCCCCATCCCATGTAACTCGGAGCCTGGATCAGGACGGGAGCCGGGTGGGCTGCAGCTTCACTGATCGCTTCCTCTTCTGCACCGGGGGCGAGAGCAAGTCCGATCGGGAACAAAGCAGAAAATGTGCTCTGAAGTCAGAAGCTCATAAAATTAAATTGCCCAGACAAAAGCCCACGCTGAAGCCTCCGAGTGTGTGTGTGTTTTGATCGCTCACGGCGGAGGCAGCCGCCTTCTGGGGGAAATAAAAAGCGTGTGTACAGCAAGAGGAAGGGAGGGATCAAGCAAAACACGATTTCAAGACCATTTTCTTGTGCGCAAAAGCCAGAGAAGCAGCTCTCTGATTTGGGGCAGGGAGGGGGCAGTCCTCTGCCGTCTCTCGGGGATGGTTCCCCGGTCGGATGTCGGACATCCGTGCCGCGTGAAGGACGCCGTTCCATCGCTGGAGCGGCCGGCACCTCGGAGCAGGTCTCCCTTCAGGTGCTAAACTAGGCGGGCTCGAAGTAAGATGAATGCTGCCAGGAAGCTGTTACTTAGCTACGAAATCTGCCCCCCCCCCCCCCACGGCAAGTCCCTCTTTATCATTGGAGCGCAGAGAGAAGTGGAGAAGAAAGCCTCTGAGCCAGGCCCGCTCGGCGGAGAAGGGGCCTTTCCTTCCGCTGCTCCTCACCCCCCCGCCACGCGAGCACACACCTGCAAACACGCTAGTCCTCAGCGTCTGCATCGGGGGTGTCGGGCGTGAGTCCTGCGCTTCTGCCAGAGCCACCCCGAGAGGGGGAGCCAAGGGGGGACCACGACGGGAGCTGGGGGACACGGCTGGCCCAAGTGAGACCTCTCAACGAGAGGCCGTTGAGGCCCCATCGGTGCGGGTGTTCGAGGACAGGCTGGACATGCACATGGTGGGCCTGTCGTGAGCGGAGCCGGCTGGAGCCGGGGGTCAGACTAGATGGCCCGGGAGGTCCCTTCTGGCTCGCCCTGCTTCTACGTTTCTAAGTGCCTCTGCTTTGTCTCTCTACAGCAGAACGGGGATGCCTGGCCGCCCTTGAACCCGCCCGGAGCGATGGCGTCTCCGGGCACCGAAAGCCAGCCTCCGGATGCAGCACGCGGGCGGCCACTGCTCGGCATGACGGAGAGCGGCCTGGGGGCCTGCGAGCGAGCACCCACCCCGGGGCTCCCCAGGCCTCCGAGCAGTCCAGCCCCCTTGCCAGAAGACGGTGCTGACACCCCCCGCCCTTCCTTCCCCGGAGAGCCCCCCCCGCCGGGGACCTCCTTGGCCCACCCCCCACCATGGCCCTGCAGCCCTGGATCCCCTGCAAGAGGGCGGCAGCATCCCAAGATGATCTTCAGAAGGAACAAGAAAAGGCTGCCCAGGCACCACACTTGAAGCCCCTGATGCGGCTCTGTGCGAAGCCCCCCGAGCCCCCAGTGAGTCTCTCCTTTATCACTACTATTATTAGTAGTAATCGAGTGATAGCTAATGTATCATTGTTAATAACTGGAGCACTGCCACCCACGAGTTCCTCGGCGGCACTCCAAGCCGAAGAGTTAGGCAGCTCTTCCAGTTCTACGTTTGCCATTCTCAGAGAGGTGGTGACTTTGCCTGGCCCAGAACACACGGGCTTAACTCGATTAGTTATACAAAAGTGCATCTAGTCAAGGTGATGGTTCTCCCAGTTGCGATGCATGGCTGTGAAAGCTGGACCATAAGGAAGGCTGAGCGCTGAAGGACTGAGGCCTTTGGATTGTGGTGCTGGAGGAGACTCCTGCGAGTCCCCTGGACCGCAAGGCGATCAAACCGGTCAGTCCTAGAGGAGATCAACCCTGACTGCTCTTTACAAGGCCAGATCCTGAAGATGAAGCTCAAATGCTTTGGCCACCTGAGGAGAAGGAAGGACTCCCTGGAGAAGAGCCTGATGCTGGGAACGAAGGAGGGCGAAAGAAGGAGGGGACGGCAGAGGATGAGGTGGCTGGATGGAGTCACTGAAGCAGTTGGTGTGGGCTTAGGTGGATTCCTGGGGATGGTGGAGGACAGGAAGGCCTGGAGGAGCGTTGTCCATGGGGTCGCGAGGGGTCCGCGACTTCGCGACTAACAACACCAGCAACAACAGCACCTGTGTTGGCCACGGATTGCTGCCGGTCCTCCATCCGGGAAGCTTTGCCAGTCGCCCGGGCGGAGCTGGAGCAGCTGAGGCGGGAGGGGACCACGCCAGAGTTGGGGATGCTGCCCCCTGGGGACACCCCTGGCCGAGGCCAGGACGAGACCCAGCCCTCCTACCCGTGTGGCTCTGTGCTCGCAACCGGGGGCATGACGTTCAGTGGAATCCTGCCCTTCCGCCTCCTTGGGTGGGTTCTGGCTGGACTCGTGTCGCACGCCAGGCGCACGGTCATGTGTCCGGTTATGTGTCCGGGGCAGAAGGAATGGAAGCTGGCTGGCCAGACCTCGGAGCTCGGTGGTGGAGCAGACGGTGCGGAGCTGCAGGGGGCCGCACTGCCTCCCCTCCAGACGTCGGGGGGCCTTTGCCGAAGCTTTGTGTTCCTGCTCGGTGAGGACAGCTGACTGGTGAGTGTTCTGGCTACGGCTGGAGCGGGGGGTGCGGGAGACCCTTCGGGCGGCACTGGCTGTGTCCTGAACGTGCCACGATGGACGTGGGAATGCAGATCAGCAAACAAAACGGTCCCGGTTGAGCTGAGCAGGGCAGAGGTGCTTTTGGCACGCCAAGAAGGTCAGGGCAGGTTCCTGACTGGGGATCGTCTGGAATGAGGTTGCAAGAAGAAAGACGGCCCTCTGCCCGGCTCTCGAACGAAGCGGGAAGGCCTGTGCGCTTGCCAGAGGCACTTCCACAGAGGGGCCGGTCTGCCTCAGAGCCGGCTCCTCTTGCAAAGCTCCAACAGCGAGTCCTTTCCGGGCTGGGGCATCCTGGAAGTTGTAGTCCGACGCACGTGGAGGGGGCCGGGCCGGGGAGGGCCGCTCAGCATGTCACACGACAGCCGGGAGGAGAAGCCCATGAAACGCGAATGGGAGGCGGATGCCCCCAGACACCCAGTGCGCAGGTGCGATGGGAACCTTTGCTCCCGGCGCATGGCTTCCATGTGCCCCTGGGGCACAGCGCAACACGCATCGTCCCTCCTGTCCGCTTTCTGCTCACTGCACCTTAAAATAGACATTGCAGAGTCGGAAAGGCGCAAAGGGCAGCTGAAATGATCGAAAACAACTCCCCTTTGAGGAAAGGTTCTGCAACTGGAATTACTTAGCTTAGAAGGCAGGTGAGTGAGAGGAGAGGCCTGGAGGAAGGACGGCACAGGAGACGCTTCTCGCTCTCCTGCATGATGCCAGGACCGGCCGCAGGCATCCCAGGAAGCCGTGTGGTGGGAGGTTCGGGACAGGAGAAAGAAGCACGCCCTCTCACAGCGTGTTGCTGAGCTGCAGAATTCATGGCCACAAGGGCTACGCGTTCGCCAGCCAGCGTGGCCACATGAAGGTCTGACACTGGCAGCCACCGATTAAAACTTGTCCTCCCCTGACACGGACTCCATGGCTCCCGAGAAAACACAACAACAACAGCAACAACAGCAACGCTATGTCAGCCCTGCTCAAAGGAGAAATCCTCGGCGCAATTCTGCATTTTAAGCTAGCTTAAAGCAAAGCACCGTCACGGCCACAGAAATAACACGGAGATGGAGCCCTCTCCCCCGACGCTCGGCACGTGCACCTGGGGATAAGCATCGCCTCGCTGAGCACCAGGGACCACGCGCCTCCCAGGCAGCAGCCCCGGCAATCACACGCCCCTCGGAAGGAGAGAGGTGCTGAGCCCAGGTGCTGCTGCCTCCCTCCTCTGTGCTCCGGGGCAGGGGGCGGAAGGGGGCTGCCTGAAGGACCCGCATTTGGCCCGAAGGCCCCGCTGGACCACGAAAGGCAGGACCTGCTCCTTGTGGGTCCAGAGGAAAGGCAACCTTTGCACCCCCGCCCCCCGCTCCCGCGGCCCAGGAAAGGTTCCCACTCCGCCTCTTACCTTCGGCTGGGCCCCGGGGGCCGGCTCCGTGGCGTAGGTCTTCCTGGCGCCGCTGGACGGGAACTGCCCGGTGGGGACCTGGGCTGGGGCCCCGGAGGAAGGATGGGCCGGGTCAGGCTTCCAGATGTTCTGCGGCACGTGGCTTGGGCCTCCAGCGTAGGCCGGCTCCTGGACGTGAGCTGGCGGGGGTGCGTAGCCGCCACCGGGCTCCGGGTGCGGGGCCGGCTGGGGCATATAGCCATAAGGCGGAGCGTGGGGCGCTGGCCCCAGCGAGGAAACAGGCTGCGGCGCTTGGCTGGGGCCCGAGCTGCTGTACGGGGCGCCCGGTGGCTGGAAATGGGGCGCAGGCTGGGCCGACTTCACCTGCACGTTGAAGGCCGGGCGGGCAGGGGTGGAGGCCGTGGAGTAAGAGGCCGGGATGGGCTGCGGTCTCAGGGCGCCGATCGGCATCACCGGGACGGGGGACGGCTGAGGGCCGGGCTTGGCCGCCGACTTCTTGGTGGCGGTCAGCGGCGGCTGGTTCGGGATGACCATGCGCTTGTGCCCCGTGACGGGAGTGGACGCTGGTGGAGTTGCGACTGGAGATCCGCCCGGCATCCCGGAGCCCTGCGTGTGGGAGCGGACAAGGAGACAAAGGCTTAATGCCAGCAGAAGGCCGTGACTGCGGGGCTACAGGAAGCCTGAGTGTCCTGGGGGCCTGGAGCCCCCCCCAAGAGGGAGGCAGCGTCGCTGGGTCTGCGGCCAGGCAAGGTGGCCACCGGGACGAATGGCACAGTTTTGCTGAACATGGACTACCTCTCCCATCCTCCCCCTCTATAGCTACATTGACTGGGGTTAATGGGAGGGCCACACATTCCCCAACCGATGGCACCCCTCCTGTAGAACAACATTTTCCAACCGGGTGCTGCCGCAGGATTTGGACTACAACTTCCAGCAGCCCTGATGCGGACGTGCCTGTGAGGCTAACCGGAGCCATAGCTTAACACACCTGGCGGGCTGCCCCCTGGAAAGGTGCTGTCCAGTATCAAATCAAATAAATACACACAAACAGGGTGCTCTGAAGGGTCTACTGGGGAGCCCACGAGGGTTCCTTACCCCCTGGGAGCAGCCAACCTGCTCCCCAGAAAGAGTGGCTCGGGTCCCCCAGGAGGGGCTGCTCCCCGGATTACAATACTCCTGTTCGTAGCTGCCGTGTGGATGTCCTGCTCCGACCCAGCCAGGGGCCACTCAAGAGACAGTGGTGGGGAGGTGGCGGGGCTTTGCCAGTGACCCGGTTGGCACAGCGTGGCGGTCCCCTGGTCCGGGTGGGCTGTCGGGCTGTCTGAACCCAGCGAGGCTTCTGCAGGCTGGGTTATTTTTCTCCTGCAGAGGCTGGGTTGCCCCAGGACTGCTCTTGCCCATTGCAGGGTTTTTGCGGCACCCCGGGCAGGCAGGGCGGCTCCGCCGGGGGCTGCCAGGTGCGGATGCTGAAGCAGCACCGCAGCCGTCTGGGTGTCCCCCTTGCCGGGGACGGCTCTTCTAGCCACGCCAACCCGCACCTCAGCTGGACCACCACCATGTGGTCCTCTTTTCCCTCAGCTTTTCTAAGGGCGGAGAGGGGGAGAGCCTTAAAAAAGCGTATGTGGGCCCATCTTCTGCTTTCTTTCTCAGCCCCTGAAAAATTCTGTGTTTTTGGCCAGCCTTTGCAGGTTCATGCACATGACAATCCAGTGCGAGGTGAGATTGTACAGAGGCTAATTTGCACAGCTACCAGGGTCCAAGTGCCAATGGAAATGTACCGACAACGGTCGAAAAGCTGCAAAAAAGGTGCACCAAAGGGGTGGGGGCATTACCCCCCCCAGGCAAGGTGCTCCTCCTGCCCCGCACCTTCTCAAACACTTACTTGAGTCTGCCGCCTCTCCAGAAAAGGGAGAAATTAACCTTTTCAAAGCAAATTTCCCCCCCATTGACTTACCAGCTCTGAAATTGGGACTAATGCCTCCTCCGTTCACTTCCCAGTCATTCAATTTGCATACATTTCCGTGCATTTTTTAAACGGTCAGCGAAGCAGAGCAGCTCTGCAAAGGGGCTGCGCCATGTGGAGCCATTGCTCCCTTTGCTGGACTGGCGCCGACTGGAGGAGGCGCTCGGGCGGATCGGGGACTGCAGTCCAGAGGGCCGCCTTGCCAAGGGGTGGGGCGGTGACACACCTGCCCCCTTCTGGGCTCACACGCTGCCCCCACTCTGCCCCACTGATGGGTGCTTTTCAATGGACAGCGGGACAAATGGCAGCCAGCCCTGCCGGTCTTCCCTTTGGCAACTGAGGAATTGCCCAGGCAGGACTTGACAGGTTGGGCAGCCAAGAGCACACGTTTGTGTACCTGAAAGGAATCACTCACACTCTCTCTCTCTCTCACACACACACACAGAGCATGACTTTCAGGGGCAGAACCCCCACTGCCCCCGGCTGCAGTGCTTCAAGGTGCCAAAAAGCTTGAAGGCCAGCAGTGAATGAGAAAGGTTGGCGACCAGAGTAAGGAAAGGTTGCGGGGCTACATCCTGCTGTGGGGAAAACACGCTGGACCTGGTGAGGGGAGGAGAAAGCCAGCAGCCACGGCGAACCTGCCCATCCGCTGGGGCCCCGGGGGTCGCGCAGCAGACGCGCCATCCACGTGGCTTCCTCGCGGCCTTGGCTAAGCGTGGCCCTCAAAGACGCTGGCGGCGTCTTGGGGTTAGTAATCCCTATTTTATGACACTTGACGGGTTTGCTTGTCAGCTCAGAGGTAAAGAAAGGGTTGGGGGTCTGTCAGAAACTAATGTGGTGACGTTACATGGATTTTTTAAAACCCTCCATGTGCAAATCGCGGGAGGGGATCTCTGCAGAGCCAGCTTTCCCCTTCCGACGCAGCGCAGGGATTTCTACGTGGCCGTACGTGGCTTCCTCGCTAAGGAAACGGCCAGTCGGCCAAACACGAGGCGGGGCGGGGACAGTGCCCCATCCGGCGTGAGGACTCGCCAGCGAGGCTTCCGGACGCCCATTCTGTGAACGAGGGCGCCGGCCTGATCCGGCGTGGCCTTGGCGGGGTCTCGGGTGAATTCCAGCGCCAAGGAAGCGTGGCAGACGGATGGACACCCTGCGCTTCTCCCCGGCTCCGTGAGTGCGGCAGGGCCGCTTGCGAGAGCCTCCGCCTGGGAGGGGCCCTTCATCGCCTTCTCGGCCTCTGGCAGACACCCCCGGCCGGCTTCTGCATCGCTCTTACAGCTGGCGGAGCCTTGTCCCTCTCTGACGACCCACCGGCTGGCTGCGGAACGCTGGAATGCGAAAGGGCCGACAAGGCCACCTCTGACGTGGGAGCTGGAGGAGCGCTGTGCAAATGCCCTGGACCGGCAGGAGGACAGGCAAGGGGGCCCGGGATCCAACCCAGCCGGAGCTTTCTCTGGAAGCACAAAGGCCAAGACGGAAGCTGCTGTATTTCCAAAGTTGTCTTCTCCAGGGCTGGACTCCCTGGAGAAGACAACTATGGTAGGGAAAGCCGAAGGCGGAGGGAGAAAAGGAAGCCCACCCAGAGATGGAGGGCCTCCATCGAGGAAGCCCCGGCCTTGAGCGGAGAACTGCTGAGCAGGGCTGTGAAGGACAGGAGGTTGAGGGGGGGGCACTCATAGGGTCCCCAAAAGTCCGAGATGAGTTGGCAGCACAGCCACAAGAAAAGAACCCATCAATGCAGTAAAGAAACTCTGCACACACCCAAACACACACGGATTACGCATGCGTATGAGAGAGAGAGAGAGAGAGAGTCTGGACCGCTGTCCACCTCACTTTCTTCTATCAGAATTTGCCATTTGTCCCAGACATTAAAACTCCAGGATTAAATTACATTTGCCGGTGCTTGCATAAGGTGCCATTCAGCACAATGCTGAGCCCTTCTCCTGGGAGAACTAGAAAAAGCGAAGGTTAAGCCAGGTTAATTTCCCTCCCTTCTTTAATTCAGAAGTACATTTGCAAGATGCGATTTGCCAGAAAGCGGTCAGTGGGGAGGGGGTGGGCCGAGCCCGACTGCTCTGGGGCCTGGGCAGCCACGCACCTGGGCCTTAAAGGTAGCGATAAAGCCGCATTAAAAGAAATGTGGGCTCCCCCCGCCCCCTTTCAAAGAAGCGCAGGGGCTTCTGATGTTTAAAAAGACAGTGGAAAACCGATCTCTCACTAAAGCGGCGCAAGGCCGCCTCTGCCGAAGAGCCAGGCACGGCAGCGGAGGGATTAGTGTTGCGGAAGGAGTTCTGGAAGGGGATCTTAGAAACGGGAAAGCAAGGGAGGAGAACAAAACGGCGGAGGAGAATAAAGGGCCCAGGCCTGGGAGCTGAAGAATTCTGCACCTCCAAAGAGTCGGGATCTGGGGCTGGAAGGGAGGTTATCTCATGGATGTGCCTGCGAGCACGCATGAATTCCTGTGGGCTCTTGCGCAAGCGGCATGCTGGCAGGATGGACTTTGCCCGGATCCCGCGGGGACCTCATGTCCTCGTGCCCTGGGGTCTTAGCACAGCTGGGAGTCTCTGCTGCGAGGCCTGGGGGGCAGCTGTGGACACAGGGCGGGCTGGGACGGGCGCAGGCACCGGGTGGCGCCCAGGCCTAGCGCCGGCTGACTTGGTCGTCCAGCTCAGGGACAGCATTCTGCCCCAGTCCTTAGTGCCAAGCCGTGTGGCCTCCCGGGAAGCCCGCGGCCGGGCCCTCCTGGAAACTGGCATGGTGGATCAGTGACCACAAAGTGGGACAGAGCCCAGACCCCTCCTGTGATCAACCCCTGGCTCTTGGCTCTTGGGGCCATGCACAACGCACGGAAATCACAATGCCGGCGACGCAAGCTCATTTCTTTGCCAGAACTGGCACCACCCTGACCTTAATCCCACAAAGGGCTGAATGCCGCATTTTGCTGAGCTTGTGATGTGGTTGATGTGACAGCCATGCGCAGTAATGGGTGCAACCTGGACAAGCCTGGGGTCGGCGACGCAGAGCCCCCTGCTGCGCCCGGGGCAGACCCTGCAGAGCGCCAGATTCCTGCAGCAGGTTCTGCAGCCGCTGAGGTGCCACATGCAGTCAGGACCCAAGCAGGGGCTTGCAGGCTGCCGGCGGGCCGCGAGCTTGGGATCAGCCCCTCAGGCTCCCGAAGGTCTCAAGCCGAGCCCCTTCCGGGTCTCCTCCCTGCAATCCCATTCAGCCTCAAGCAGGAGGGGGAAGTCCTGCCCCCCCCGTGGTGTTAAAAATGACATCTCTTTTCACCTCCCTGGGGAGAGCAAGAAAAGGAAATTGCTACCTTTCCCACACGTTACCCTTTGAGAAGGATTTCTTTAATCGAACATTTCCATTCTGTTGCAACAGCAGGCTCTTGCTGTGTGTGTGTGTGTGTGTGTGTGTGTGTGTGTGTGCATGTGTGTCCATGCGTGCGTGCACAGCAGGGAGAGTTTTCTGGAAAGCATACGAGTTTCCGTAAATGCAACCAGCAGCGTTACCCTCGTTGCCTTCAGCTCTGTGGCTCAGCGCTGACGGAAGCCAAAAGGAGTGAATGAGCCCAGTCAGTCCTTTCTGAGAAGAAGGTGGAAAAACCACACGTGGACTCTGAGCGCAACCCACACAG